AAAAAAAAAAAAAAAAAAAAGGAGGGTGGGATTTTGGTGGAAGCGGGGTTAAAGAGTTTTTGAGGTTTTTATTTCAGGTCTTGGAGTTGATGACGTGTGTTGATGGTGAATAGGGAAATATTCACGTGCGACGCACAACTCGATTCCCACACTGCTTTCTGCTCCAATTCACTGATCGATTAAAACCTCTTTCTCGTTGACGGCTGTGATTGATCCGCACGGAACAGAGTGGGACCCCCCACGATCACTGCATCAGATCTCTTTTAAGACCTCTATTTCCGTGTAATCGGTCGAGCATATTTCAGAACAACGCACCAAAAAAGATTTTTGAAGTCAATCGGATCAAACGCTGCCGTTTAAGACTGGGCTCGCTTCGACCCCAGTCTTAGCCCATTGCAAAAATTTCAACTTTAATTTAATTCGTTTTAAAAAAATTGAAAATTCATCGGCTACCTAGCTTTTCAATTACTCATAACAATAAATTTAAAAGAAAAAAAAAAAAAAAAAGACAACAATTTAATGATATTTCTGAAAATGAAAGCCATTGACACGTATGATTTGTGTAATCCACGTATTAAAGATCCAAACACGTAATTGATGAACAAAGCATATTATATTATTAGCTCATGTGGAATAATCATCATTCTTTGCTTCCTTATGAGTCAACTACAATGCTTCAAAATATTGGACATTATAACCCAGCTTCACGCTTTTCCAACAAAATTTCTTTTAGACTGCGTGTCAAAGTTGTTAATAACATAATGATGTGAAGATGATGAATGTCATCCAGCAAAAGGGTTCAAAGGGTTCAGGAAGAGCTTTGCAGGCGGCTCTTGATCCACGATTCAAGGTGTTTGAGCTCCTCCGTGCTTATCGAATGACCAAGACCGGGATACGCCTTCAAAATAAGATGACCGAACCATTTTAGACTTTCAATCTCAAAAGTTCATACACATTTGTAGAAGAGGAAGTCAAGCAAATTACCTTAAATTCGCAGCTTAGTCCAGCCTTTTCCAGGAACGGTGGCCCGGCTTGTCCAGCTTCAAACAATACGGTTCTATCGTCCATTCCATGAGACCATAAAATTGGTGTCTGTACAAACATTCAAATCTTAGAAATTGTGTCTCCGTAACAATCTAAGCCCACCACTAATATATATTGTCAAATTTAAGCGACTTTCCCTCAAGATTTTAAAATGCGTTTGTTAGGAAGAGGTTTCCACACCGTTATAAGGAATGCTTCGTCCCTTCTCTAACCGATGTGAGATCTCACAATCCACCCTCTTTGGAGACCCAGCCTCCTCGCTAGCAGTGACGCTGGCACACTGCCTAGTGACTGGCTCTGATACCATTTGTAATAGTCTAAATTTACCGCTAGCAGATATTGTCGTTTTGGACTTTCTCTTCTGGGCTTCCCCTCAAAGTTTTAAAATACGTTTGTGAGGGAGAGGTTTCCACACAAAAATGCTTTGTTCCCCTCTCCAACCGACGTGTGATCTCACACCTTCACCCTTTTTACAGCAAAAGTATCTAAAATGACAGCCACTCCATCCACCATGAATGCACATTATAATTCCAACTTTTCAACAAAGCTGTAACTAAGGATCTGTTAATGAAAGAGTGAGTACCCTTTTTGCATCGGGATGTACACGGTCAATAATTGTTGAATTGAAAGGAACCCATCCACTAAATACCGCACCTCCTCCTAGAGTCTTTGGATATAGCAGAACACTAGCCAATGTCAAGGCACCTGCAAGGAGTTAACAGCAATAAGAAGAAACTATCATACAAGAGTTTTATATACAAATCTAAAGCAAGTATAGATGGGAGGAGAGAGAGACTAAAACCTCCTTGACTGAATCCACACACAAATATGTTATTTGGACTTATGCCACCATCTACCACCTTGTCTATCTTTGCATGCACACTCTGTACTGCTTCAAGCACCGACCTTTCAGCCTTTGGAGAATCCTATTTCATGAAAGAATGGAAAATTTTAAAGAAAAATGCTATAAAACACCCAACAAATAGTCCATTGTCGATAGAATTTAGAGTTAATATCCAGAAATTTTAAGCAAAGATGCGTCTTCTTAGAGGTATTAGCACCTTTTTAAGAATTGAAGAGTTCAAAAATAATAATTTATCTTTGCAGCAAAAGGAAAATTCTTCACATGGGACGACCGTTTCAGGAAGGAAAGAGTATATAAAGATGGCTTAAAGCCTTAACTTACAGCGGTTACTGGAATCTCATGAATGTCAAACCATGAAGGCATCACCGCACCATCTACAAGTGGAAAAGAAATAAGCTGATTGAAGAATAAGAAGATTAAAACACTTTTTTAAAAGAGAAGATGCTGAAGACAACAAGTGGCAGTAGGGGTTGCAATCATAGCCCCGTCATATTCTTGGCTTTCCCTTTTAGTTTCCAGGTTAAAATCACCCTGAGCTGTTCAAGCCATTCACTAGAGAAGGACTGACAAATCATCTATCAGGCATCGCACTTTCGTCCGATACCATTCTAGAGCATTAAAGCACAAGTTCTATCTTCCTCAGTTCAAGACCAACAGGGCAATTCAAGTTCATCATTACAAATCCAACACACGAAGCATATAATTCCCTTGATTCGAACAAGAAATTGGGTCAATTAATACAAACAAATCAAGCCCACAAAACTAAACTCCCTCAACAGGGGAGGACAATTCATGCAATAACCCAAAAATATATTTATTAAATTAAACCGCCACAAGTAATTTCACCTAAATTTGATATAATACGAGCACACAAAGTTACAAATGAGATGTAATCCATCCGTTACAAACCAAGTTCTTTACCTTTTTGCTTATGTCATCGATCAAACAATGTTACCACTTTGTTCTCCAACTAAATTCTCTCTAAGTCTTCTTCTTTACACGATTCAGAACCAACCCATCCATGGGTTCTCTCTTTCAGGTATACACATAATTTTTTCTCTCCTGTTGAATTCCGTCAGTTTATGGCTTCGGGTTGAATTGTTTTGATCGAATCTTCATTTCTAAATTTTAGAGTTTAAAGGTTTAATAGTGTTTCATGAGATTGTGTAGTATGAAAAACATAATTTCCCACACAAATTCAACATCCAGAACACGGCTATTCACAGACAGAGGAAAAAAAACCCTAAAAATTAAATCGTGAGAACTTACAATTACACGTGACGGGGTTGGAAGGAGCAGAGGGGAAAGACCAGGAAGTGCGTTTGAACTCAGATGAAGTGAAGAGATTCTTGATTGGCTCGTTGGCAGGACCTGAATCTCCCAATCCATGAAGCCAGAGGATGAAGCTTCGAGCCGCCATTGGATCTGGGGTTATCGAAGAAGATGGATGGGTGCGATGAAATAGAACCAAGAGAATGGTTGCGCTGAAGGTGGCTGCAGAGAGTGCGATCGACTTCGTTAATTGTTGACTTACAGATGCAGTAGCCATAGCTGATCTCCCATTGCCATCGAGTCTTCTCCGCTTGAGTTAATGCGGAAGTGGGGACTGCGGAGATTGAGAATTTTTCTTGAACGGCTTCTCATTCACGTCCTCATAAAAATTTTATTTAGCACGATATAAGATCTGTATATATATTAAATAGAAACTTTCATTTAATATATAATTTTCATTCTTATCCAATTAATGCGTAAAATTTGAAAAGCATGATCATTTACAATATAAATATTTATTTATATGATATTTAAATTTTTACCCATCCAAATATATATATTTTTGAATAATTTAAAAGCTCAAAAATATTTTTTTAAAATAAATTTTAATGTATAAAAGTAAAATTAAAATTTTAAAAATAAAAAAATATAATTTAACCCAAAAATGTATACCTAATTTTTTTTTTTTTGAAATTGGTCTCCCATATTATTAAATTTGGGGTAATATATGTAATTTTGCATCTTCCTTGGATTGGAAAAGGGTGACATACGGACCTTTTCCTGACCCTTCAAACATTCTTTTCCGACGAAACGAAAACAAGATTACCCTTCAAACATTCTTTTCCGACGAAACGAAAACAAGATTCATTCCCTGAACCGGGGTTGGTTCGATCTATTTCTTTATCTCCCCATGAATCATATGTTTGTAACAAAGGGGACAGAATTTTCTCAATTCCAATCAACTAGGCGTATTGTGTCGATTCTTTTGAGTAATATATCTGGAAATCCCCACGGATTCCTTATTAACACCGTTTCAAACACAACAAGTACATTCCAAAATAACTGTTACTCGGCATCTTTACCCTTGGCTATGAACCTCCCTTGTATTTTTTATTGAGTAAAAAAAAAGTATGGTACGAGTCACAATCAAACGTCATCCAATTTACTATTCTTCGATCAAAATATAACACAAAAATTTTGTGTAAAACCTATCAAGATCATACACATTTTCATTTTAATCGTATAAGATACCGTGTCGAGAAAAATTATAAATTTTAGAGGGGAAAAAAGATAAGTTAGCCTTAAAATTTATTCGTACCTTCCGCCATCCTAGAGATGGTATGAACAAATTTCTTTTTAAACCATTAAAAAAATTAAATAATATTTTAAAGAATGTCAAGTATGATATCGGTGATAATTCATCGCACATAAGATTGAACTAAAAACTCATATTTATCGAAAAAGAATAAACTTTATTGGCACATTCCAGAGAATTTATTCAATTTTACAAGATAAATAATTATGAAATAATTTGAATGAAGATGGTTATATCAGAGCAGAATGGGGGGAGAATCTAGCCGCCTCTGCACATCTTATCGGCCTCGCATCCTCTGTTATAATTGTTGGCTGGATCTCCGAGTGTTTTGCAGTTGCCATCGGTGCATTTTTCACCTCCATCTGCACCGATGGAGCCATAACTAAGAGATTCTGCGGCTGCTGGGGTCACCACAAATGAGGAAA